AATGGAGAGAAACTTTTGTAGGCATAGTCTATTTTAGCTTATGTAACAATTTTATTATTATTATTATTATTTTAATGCAATCAACGTTAGTGTATAATGAAAGATAGGAAAATACTTTTGAATCCTATGAGCCTAGGACCTCGTGTTCAACTTAATTGGTCAAATATTGAGTTTGGCTTAGCCCTTGACCGATTAGATGCATGTCCAAGTTGGCCCATTAGGAGAACAACGATTCAAATTCATTGTCATCCCTATACTCAAAGGTCCATTTCCAAGGGAAAGACTATATTCGAAAAAAAACCTTAATTACTAACATATTTATTTATGTTTAAGATTATATAAAATATTAATTCAAATGTATGGGTGGTATAGAGCTGAGCTGATCTCATTCCACGAGCCCACCATCTAAGCTTAGTTCGACTTGTTGGGCCAGCCGGGCTCGATCCATTGGTCGACAAGTTGAGTTGGAGTTGGCTTGTTGACCAAGAGGTCAGGTTCTGCCCGTGAAGGTAGAGTCAAGCTAGCTCACAAGCCCATATATTATGTATCTTTTAAATAAAATTTAATTTTTAAATTAAAATTATAATTGAAATCAATGTTAAAAGGTTGCAAGAGGTGTAGCAGCCTATTAGAGTGTCTTCAATACATTTTCTGAATCGTAAGCAAGGTCGCATCTAAGTTCAAAAACTTTTGTTCTATGTGACATTAATTTCTAACTAAGAAAAAAAATTAAAAAAAAAGAAAAAAAAAGAAAAAGAAAGATACATATTAAATTATGGCGACTCATCCCCTCCAGAAAGAGCCTAAACATTTTTTGGAATCGCCTTCCCAATTGCAAATTTCTATTCATTTTATCCTTTAAGGTAAAGGCCACTTTAATAGAAAAATGCTGACAGGTGCTTCAACAGAACGAATTTTGACAAGATATGATTTGATGGGAAATTGATCATGTTTAAACAATTTAATAATATGATGTCATGTGGCATTGTAGCATGATTCTTTAGTTTAATAACAGTTCAATAGAGATTTTATCATTTTTGGATAGCAGCATGACATAGATAGTCCTCTTAATAATATCTATTTTTGCTTGTTAGGTCAGCTAGTTATAGGGCCTGTTTGGCATATCTTTTACTTTTTGTAGAAGAGCTTTTGAAGGAAATTATTTTAATTTTTGTTTAAAAACTAATATTTAAAAGCATTTTCTATTCTGGAAGTACTTATAAAGGAATTCATATTGAACCTACTTCCTTTAAAAACTCTTCTAACCGTCAAATGCACTTTAACAAAATTAGCCAAACGGATCCAAAACCAGATTTTGAACCTCAAAAGCTCCTTTTCGCTTTTCAAAAGCCATGCGAAACAGGCTTATAGTTCTAGACATGTTGCAATGGAGAGAAACTTTTATAGACTACGTCTATATTAGCTACAATTTTTGATTTTTGATTTTTTATTTTTTATATTTATGCAATCAACATTAGTATATATAATGAAAGATAAGAGAAGACTTCTGAATCCACGAGTCTTGACCTCGAGCTCTACTTAACTAATCAAAAACTGAGCTTGGCCTAGCCCTTGACTCAATTTGATGCGGGTCCAAATCGGCCCATTAGCGAACAACGATTCGAATTCATTGTCATTCCTAAAGGTCAATTTTCAAAAGGAAACCTTAATTACTGACATATTTATCTATGTTTAAGAGCTAAATATTATATAAAATATTAAAGATATTAAGTGTTAACCTTCCAATAAAAATCACTAATTTCTTGTACATCCAATATGAAATTTTATTTGAGTAATTAAAAAAAATTATTTTTATTAGGGGTATATGCTAAGGATTAAAGGATCTTCGTTTCTTCTAAATTCCGCAATCCGCTCCACCTACCTAAAAGAAACAACTCAGAGCAAGTCAACAGATCTGACGGCCAGAGATTAATTCTACTGAATCGACGGTCTCTAGACAACTGTACATAATGATATAAACAAACACCAGCATAAAATTTTACTTCCCGAAAACACCCCGTAGATGTTAAAAAATATCAATTTGGTCCCCAAATTTCTGCTCCATAGTCCTAAGAGTTCAGATCGAAGGCAATTGTATTTAAGATTCACTGGAGTTCAGCTTCGAATAAAGAGATCATATGGAAAAGGAAAAGAATTTGGAAGTAAAGGAAGACGAAGAAGCAGAAGCAATTGAGTTGGTTCTGTTTCAAGTATCTGAATGCTACGTGTATTTGGTAATTTGATGTTCTACTCCTTTTAGGGTTCAGTATGATAAATTTTTAGGCTTGAAATTTTACAATTATATCACTCTTAATTGGGCTTCTATTTAATTATTTGTATTAGATGGTGATTGACTGGAAGAGAGGAATGATTGAATATAGTGTTCAATTTATAGCATATTACTCCCAGATTGTCAGAAAATATTGAAGATTGTAATAGAGTTTGGTAGTCTTCTAATTGATGTTAGATTCTGATATGGGAGATTTGTTTGAAAGCTGTTAACTTTTGAGTTGCTTGAGTGATGCGCAAAAAATAAAAAATAAAAAAGAAAATGAAAAAATAAAAATTATATATATATATATAAAATAAAATAAAATGGAAACTTTGATTGGCAGCAAGGAGATCAGGCAATATTGAATCGTTTTGTGTCCATGGAATATCGTTGTCATTTAATATTGTGCACAGGGAACATGATGTGAAGTCCGCTTCATAAAATTGAAGCAATGACAAGAACAAGTCTTTGTCTCGATATTGAGGCATTTCCAATAGAAGTTGATCTTAGTATTGTTTTCAGAAAAGTTTTAAGAGGCATTTAATTTATTTGGTTATTTGAGGTTGAGGATAGGAGATTCTAGGAATGTGGATCTCTATATGCCATTGTTCAGTAGGTTGGCAGCCTTTAGTCTGGTGTATTGATCGCAAGCTCGACAATGTGGGTGCTACTCTTTTCTTCAGTTTTGCCTTCATCTAGGAGTTTGATCATCATTGTATTATGAAAAACATACTCCAAAATAATGAAAATTCAGTAGTCAGAACTAAGGGCACATTCACAATGATGGTGGAAGATAAATTTTTTGAATAGATGTTTCAATTATAGAATTTTCTATATTCCACCGTCTAAGGTCTCTGAATGGTAAAGGGGAGGTTCTATAGGTTTATGCAAGACATGTCTCTACATCCTAAATCATCATTCCTTTAATGTAATCTCGGCGCAATGCACGCTTATTAGCATGTACTGTCAATAAATTAGTTATTAGCATTTTCTATCAATAACTTATTTGTACTAGTATAGTGGCATAGCCATACATCCATCTTAACATCCTCATTTCCATCATGCATTGATCTTATGGATATTTTGTTCTTAACAGCCAATACTCAATACTATAAAGTGTAGCACGTCAAGTATCAATTCTGTGAAAGCGTAAATTTACCTTTTAGTAATACTCCTATCATATAGATTCCCTATACCAGTTCTCCATTACATTCAACCTGCTCTAGTCTTATGCATTTTCATTCTCTTTACAGCCTCGTTCTTTGTACATGATACAACATAAATTCCCCAAATTACCACGCTTTTAACACCTCGACCATCAGCTGTGTAAAGTCAACTGACTGATATGTAATAAGGTTACAAGGTCATAATGAAAAGCTCAAGCAACTTTCATATGCGTGCTATTGCATATCAAATTTTATTTATTAATGGTTCCATTTGTGTAATCTAACTGAACTGAGTGTGTTTGGCATTTGTGGTTCCTTTTACCACCATTACTTATGTGGATAGCTTTGAAGTCATTTTGATGTCAACATAATAATTCTCTTTATATTGATCGCAGATACCTCCACGGAAAACTGCAGCTTCTTACAGGTTTCTCTCTAATTTCAAATCAGTGAATTGACTTTGTTTCTTGACATGTGTTTGTTTAATCTTTGACATTATTCATTTCATTCATGTCCATGCTTTGTTATGATAAATTGTAGAAGAAAGGAACCTGTGTTTTCTATTTGTTGGCCATCCACCATAATCTTGTATTCTCTCTCACCCATACTTGCCGGTTAATAAAGTCATTTTGAAGAATAAGGAAATCCAATATAAGATTATACCTACTTCCATCCCTAATGCTTGTCCAAATTTGTAGTGGCTATGTTTAAGAAAAAAGAATTAGTAATTTATGAAATGCTTTGACTCCCTCTTGTTTGTTCTGGGATTAACTATCACGAAAGATGAAGTGATTACATACTCAGAAGAGAAAAGTAAATGCTGAGGCAAGCAAAAGGACAAGATAAAAAGAGAGAGCTGTAATGTCATATGAAGAGTCACCATTTAATATCTAGTAGCTATGGGTGATTCCTTTTTTCTGGATGAAGTGAAGAGGATGCAAGCAATGCTTCAGTTTGGTTAGTATAAGCCTCATCTTGGGAAGAATTTATAAACAATTTAGCCCCTGTTTGTTTCCCATTCTTTCTCCATTAAAATGAAAAATATGACCATTATTCATCACATCAAGCCATCAAATTTGAATTTTTATCTCTTGTGTGGGGCTCATAACGACTATATTTTTTATTCTCATTTTTGTAAAAATAGGAAACAAACGCCCCCTTAATTTATAAATAGATAGAAATGAGTGATGAATAAGTGTATATTACCTATGGGTCCATGTAGCGTACTGCACATAAGTATGAGAGAATTCTTTGTTGAGTTGAGTTGTAGTCCAGGAACAAATAAATTATCTTCAGCACTGCATTTGAAAATCTTTTAGTTACTTGTTTTTGTTTGTTTAAAGCTTGTCTAAATTAATTTGAACGAAACCATTTAAATGAACCTTGCAATGGTCATTGGACGTACATTCATCAAAATTTTGGAGTGTGTACATATCTATTTTTGTTTTTCCAATACATGAGCCTCCTATAAGTTATGGTTATAAGCTTTTACATTACATCTAAAATTTGCACTAGAATATGGAGATGTAGATGACATACTTACATAATGATATAAACAAACACCAGCATAAAATTTTACTTCCCGAAAACACCCCGTAGATGTTAAAAAATATCAATTTGGTCCTCAAATTTCTGCCCCATAGTCCTAAGAGTTCAGATCGAAGGCAATTGTATTTAAGATTCACTGGAGTTCAGCTTCGAATAAAGGGATCATATGGAAAAGGAAAAGAATTTGGAAGTAAAGGAAGACGAAGAAGCAGAAGCAATTGAGTTGGTTCTGTTTCAAGTATCTGAATGCTACGTGTATTTGGTAATTTGATGTTCTACTCCTTTTAGGGTTCAGTGTGATAAATTTTTAATCTTGAAATTTTACAATTATATCGCTCTTAATTGGGCTTCTATTTAATTATTTGTACTAGATGGTGATTGACTGGAAGAGAGGAATGGCTGAATATAGTGTTCAATTTATAGCATATTATTTCCAGATTGTGAGAAAATATTGAATATTGTAATAGAGTTTGGGTAGTCTTCTAATTGATGTTAGATTCTGATATCGGAGATTTGTTTCGAAAGCTTTTAACTTTTGAGTTGCTTGAGTGATGCGCCAAAAAAAAATAAATAAATAAAATAAAAAGATTGGCAGCAAAGAGTTCAGGCAATATTGAATCGTTTTATGTCCATGGAATATAGTTGTCATTTAATATTGTGCACAGGGAACATAATGTGAAGTCCTCTTCATAAAATTGAAGCAATGACAAGAACAAGTCTTTGGCTCGATATGGAGGCATTTCCAATAGAAGTTGATCTTAGTATTGTTTTTCAGAAAAGTTTTACGAGGCATTTAATTTATTTGGTTATTTGAGGTTGATGATAGGAGATTCTAGGAATGCGGATCTCTATATGCCATTGTTCAGTAGGTTGGCAGCCTTTAGTCTGGTGTATTGATGGCAAGCTCGACAATGTGGGTGCTACTTTTTTCTTCAGTTTTGCCTTCATCTAGGAGTTTGATCATCATTGTATTAAGAAAAACATACTCCAAAATAATGAAAATTCAGTAGTCAGAACTAAGGGCACATTCACGATGATGGTGGAAGATAAATTTTTTGAATAGATGTTTCAGTTATAGAATTTTCTATATTCCACCGCCTAAGGTCTCTGAATGGTGAAGGGGAGGTTCTTTAGGTTTATGCAAGACATGTCTCTACATCCTAAATCATCATTCTTTTAATGTAATCTCGTTGCAATGCAACGCTTATTAGCATGTACTATCAATAACTTAGTTATTAGCATTTTCTATCGATAACTTATTTGTACTAGTATAGTGGCGTAGCCATACATCCATCTTAACATCCTCATTTCCATCATGCGTTGATCTTATGGATATTTTGTTCTTAACAGCCAATACCCAATACTATAAAGTGTAGCACGTCAAGTATCAATTCTGTGAAACTTGTAAATTTGCCTTTCAGTAATACAGTAATACTCCTATCATATAGATTCCCTATACCAGTTCTCCATTACATTCAACCTGCTCTAATCTTATGCATTTTCATTCTCTTTACAACTCGTTCTTTGTACATGATCCAACATAAATACCCAAAATTACCACGCTTTTAACACCTCGACCATCAGCTGTGTAAAGTCAACTGACTGATATGTAATAAGGTTACAAGGTCATAATGAAAAGCTCAAGCAACTTTCATATGTGTGCTATTGCATATCAAATTTTATTTATTAATAGTTCCATTTTTGTAATCTAATTGAACTGAGTATGTTTGACATTTGTGGTTCCTTTTACTACCATTACTTATGTGGATAGCTTGGAAGTCATTTTGATGTCAACATAATAATTCTCTTTATATTGATCGCAGATACCTCCACGGAAAACTGCAGCTTCTTACAGGTTTTCTCTCTAATGTCAAATCAGTGAATTGACTTTGTTTCTTGACATGTGTTTGTTTAATCTTTGACATTATTCATTTCATTTCATGTCCATGCTTTGTTATGATAAATTGTTGACAAAAGGGAGCGGTGTTTTCTATTTGTTGGCCATCCACCATAATCTTGTATTCTCTCTCGCCCATACTTGCCGGTTAATAAAGTCATTTTGAAGAATAAGGAAATCCAATATAAGATTATACCTACTTCCATCCCTAATGCTTGTCCAAATTTGTAGTGGCTATGTTTAAGAAAAACGAATTAGTAATTTATGAAATGCTTTGATTGAAGAGACAACTTTTGAAGCTTTGCCTTAACTATAATTGATACTGTGGAGTTGTAGGCCATATTATATTTTGACTCCCTCTTGTTTGTTCTGGGATTAACTATCACGAAAGATAAAGTGATTACATACTCAGAAGAGAAAAGTAAATGCTGAGGCAAGCAGAAGGACAAGATAAAAAGAGAGAGCCGTAATGTCATATGAAGAGTAACCGTTTAATATCTAGTCGCTATGGGTGATTCCTTTTTTCTGGATGAAGTGAAGAGGATGCAAGCAATGCTTCAGTTTGGTTAGTATAAGCCTCCGCTTGGGAAGAATTTATAAACAATTTAATTTATAAATAGATAGAAATGAGTGAAGAATAAGTGGATATTACCTATGGGTCCATGTAGCTTACTGCACATAATTATGAGAGAAATCTTTTTTGAGTTGAGTTGTAGCCTTGGAACAAATAAATTATCTTCAGCACTGCATTTGAAAATCTTTTAGTTACTTGTTTTTGTTTGTTTCAAGCTTGTCTAAATTAATTTGAACAAAACCATTTAAATGAACCTTGCAACGGTCATTGGATGTACATTCATCAAAATTTTGGAGTGTGTACATATCTATTTTTCTTTTTCCAATACATGAGCCTGCTATAAGTTATGGTTATAAGCTTTTACATTACATCTAAAATTTGCACTAGAATATGGAGATGTTGATGACATACCTGTTGCTGGAACTTCATTTCAGGGGATGGGGGTTGAAACTATAATTGAACTTTTCTTTCTTGTAGGGCTGATGATTGGAATGTCAATAAATGGGAATGGGAAGGCACTCTGAAAGTTATTAGCAAAGGAGAAGAATGCATCATCAGATTAGAAGACAAGAAGACAGGTGGATTTTTTGGAAATAGATATAAACTAATGTTCCATAACTTGTCTAAATGTAGTTTGTTGATGACCAATAATATGTCTAAAATAGGTGAATTGTATGCTCGAGCATTTTTGAGAGAAGGGGAGCCACATCCTGTGGAGCCTGTTATAGATAGCAGCAGGTTTGTTAAACAAGTCATAAAATTTATTTCACTTCTTATGAGAGCAATTTTTGAAATGTTTAAAGTGGTGTGTTATTTCATTTGGGGCTTCTGATATTTGTCTGCACGAATTCTCATGACTTTAAACCCAGTCACTTATGTTGCTCTCTAACTCATTCTGTTAATTCTAAATTATTGCAGATATTTCGTTCTTCGGGTAGAAGAGAATATTGGTAATTTTGAATTTCCCTCTCTTCTTTTAAATTTTTTTCTTTCATTATAAGTTCTGTTTCTTGAATGTTTATCAATTGATTGTAGCAGAATAGAGTTGTCTAACAATGTTTTATTTCTGTATTGAGGTTCATTCACTTCTAACTGATATATGTATTCCCAGCATGGGCACTTTAGTAACAAATTTCAATGACGATTTAACAGTTTTGATGGATATTTTATTAGATATATTTTATGAAGACTTTCCATGTATAGAGCCTTATTTTAAGAAAGTAATTAGAGTTTTATTTAATAAATTTTCTATTATTTTCCTATCTAAAATAGACCAGTTTAAAATCTAAATAAAGGGGGATTATGCATTGTAATAAATTTTCTATTATTTTCCTATCTAAAATAGACCAGTTTCTCCCTCTAATTTCTCTTTATTCTCTCCACTTTCTTCTCTTTTCCTCTCTACTTTTCTCTCAATTCCCATTCTTGTTCATTGCATTCTACATCAATTTGGTATGGAGATGATTTGTGCATTTGCTTGTCGCCATATTGCCAGTGTCGTTGTTGTAATTTGGTCAGGAAGGATTCTTTGGGTAAGATGTAGCGGTGTATTTCATCGAAGTCAAGTTCTTTTAGTAGGATAGAAATGATGGAGATCTTGTTATATATATCATATGAAGACTTTCCAAGTTGATACTCTTATTATATGAAAAGTAATTAGGGTTTTATTTAATAGATTTTCTAACATTTTTCTACTTAAAATCAGACTAGTTTAAACCCTATATAGAGGGGCTTATGCATTGTAATAGGACTTGATTATTGAATAAAGTATATTTCTCCTTCTAATTTCTCTTGATTTTCTCCCTTTTCTTCTCTCTCCCTTTCCTCTCAAATTTCTTTCTTTATTCGTTGCATCCTACATTAGGTTCACTACATAAGAACCAAGATTCCGATTTTATATCTCCTTACAAGAAGTATCTTTGCTCATAATGTAATTATCTAGGTGCTTTTTTATAGCCTTTTCAGTGAAAAGGGACAATTTTTATAGTGTTGTATATATTCCAGTAAGAGATGTCGAGTGACAATATTAATATGTATGTGGCCACCTGGATGGAATGCCAATATATATCTCTCTCCTGCTATTTTATACTTTGACCCGTTTCATAGACATTACGGTAAGATATGCTGAGTGCTGCTCCTTCCAGGATAATTATATGAATTAGTTTTTAGCATATTAAACGGTCTAATGTTTGATGTGGCACCCGGATTACATCCTCTAAAAAGGACAAGAAACTTTTATGTGGTCAATCACCTGTACTGCTGTACAGCAATTTGGGTGCTACTTAGAACTTCGGGTGAAATCAAGCATGTTTTGCTTGTATCTCAAGGTTGGCCTCGATGCCTAAAAAATTAATTTGTTGTTGCCTTTTTGATGTATTATTACCATTCATTTCTTATTTTTCTTCTCTACGTATCATCTTATGACTTAGGCACATGTTACTTCAACCCTTCTGCTATTACATCAAGGTCATGCGAGGCAAACCTGAACTAGTTTAAAAATTTTCTTGTGGAAAATATTTTTTTCTATTTATTTTGGGAAGGTCCCTTCACACCCCCCAACCTGAGTCTTAAAGAAGTTTGACAAAGTGCCATCAAATTTTTATGAAGCCTTTTTTCGCATCTTTGGTATTTGGTCATCTCTTGCTATATTAAAAATGTTTATTGAGGGCTGGTTAATAGACATGAGAGATTTGGTTGCTGCTATACCATGTTGAATTGATAGGACTCTGATAATTATTTCTTAAGAAGATTAAGACGTTAATTTTCTCTTTAAACATCATATGGAAAATCTTTTATATACTGTTAGGATAGCTTTTGCTTCTAACTTTGCATTTTGTAGAATAGCTTCCTAAGGAAACCACCTTAGGCTAGCTTTCTCTAAAAGACCTTTTAATCATACAAATCACTTTCAATAAATTATTTAAACAGACCAAAAAGTAGTTGCTTAGTCTAAAAAGCAGCTTTTGACTTTTCAAAAACGATGCCAAACAGGCCAGTAGTTTGATATCGACCATATTTAAATCTTATAAGTCATGTCCTTTTTTGTCCTTGTGTTTGGTTGATCCATTCCTCCATTCTCTTGTGATTATAGTTAAGCAATTTATTTGTGGAAGTATTGAGCGCAAAACCTTCAAGCAATAGGTGAACTTGTGACAACATTAGCTACCTTAGAAACCTCTTAACTTTGCAAGGTGGACATCTGCCTTTTTTCCCTTATTTTTCTAAAATTAGTGACACTTCTTAGTCTTTCCAGGAATTACCCAGGCTCACCTCTATTAAAAAAATTAAAAGACAAGGTTATCGAGTCATTCCCCGAACATATATGGGATTGGAGTTCTATGATTATCTACAGGGTAGATTGTGGACTTCGGATTATTATCTTTTAGTCTTTGTTAATTGTAGGAAAATGAGAAGCACATGTTGAATCTTTCTGTTGGCTTTCCAAATTAATTCTTGAATAGAATTAAAAGATGTGAAATGAGTTCTTCTAGCTGCTTTACATGCGTTCCTTCAGATCATGGCATTTATTATGTGCTTTTTTCCACAAATTGTATTTTGTCATCACTTCTTTTGAGTTATTTATTGCTCGTGTATAGATACAGTAATACTCAAATGATACTGATTTAAATCGATGTAGGTGGACGCCTTCGACATGCTTTTATTGGTATAGGATTTCGAGAAAGGCCTGAAGCTTATGACTTCCAAGCTGCTCTCCATGACCATATGAAGTACTTTTCAAATCCTCCTTATTTTTACCTTAATTCTTTCAATTTTGAGTTTTGTTTTAAATTTCGTTCATTAATTTTTTCTGAGTTATACATTTTGTCTTCCCTGGTTTTGGGGGGATGGGTTCGAGTTTAATGTATTCAACTTTTGAAGGTACCTGAATAAGAAGAAAACTGCTGAAGAGATGGAACAGCAACACCAGAAGACTTCTTCAGTTGATTACAGTTTAAAAGATGGGGAGACCTTGGTGCTTCAATTAAAGAATGTAAATTGCTCTAGTATCATATTTATGAATTTTCGCTGTAGTTGCATATACATCTTATAATACCCTTTTCGGTGTTCAGCAGAAAGGTAGTGGCAACATAAAGTCCAAGTTCTTTGAGCAAGGCTTGAATAATCTTTCCTTGGAAGACAAGGGCACCAAGAGAGAATCGACTGTAGGTATCAAATTGCCTCCACCCCCATCTGCACCGCTCTCGCCTGCTGTTACTGCTCAAAATTCTCCCTTGGGATCGCCCCCCAAATTTACTCTCAATGAAACTTCTAAAGCCGACGCATCCGAACCTGAAAAAGAACAACCAAAAGGATCGGGATCTTATGAAGCTCAAAATCTCCAAGATATACCAGACGATGATTTCGGAGATTTTCAAGCAGCTGGATAACTCAATCTTGGAATTTGATTTCTTTGTACTTGAAATTTTTGAGTTGGTTCCATGTTTTATGGGTTATATATAAAGGTTTTACAGGCATCGTTACCATGTATTTTTATTTTTTATTTTTATCAATTTCATATATTTTGCTTTCTTGTATGGTACTACAAGAGTTTTTTTCTTTCGTACTTATGAAATTCCTTGTTAACTGGTACATGGCTTTAGAAATTTACTACGTAGTGGTCAAATGTGATGGGTCAATTGCACCCAATTCCTAAATACTGCTTTACTCTGGGTGGTGCCCTCTTGTGGCATGTTAAGCACATATAATTTAATAATACTAGTCGAGACAAGAGATTAGATTTTTTTTTTTTTTTTTTTTGGGTCCTTTTCTTCTTTAATTCTGATTAGTGTAGTCTGGTTTAAGCTGTCCATGTCCAACATGTCTTTATGCACACAATATCAATGTTCTTGGATTTCGTGGACCCTAATTACAGTGTTGGCAATTTGTTTCCATTATATAAGTACATTAAGAACTCATATTTCCTATGTTATATGATGAGTACGACGGGGGATCCTTTTTTGCCGGTGTGAGGCATGTGATCTCCTCTTATAAAACTTTCTTAATTGGTGAAAAATCTATGGCATCGAAGTGAAGGAGCAATCTCAGAGCAATAAAGTAAGGAGAGACGGAAAATAACTTAAAACAAGATAACCACATTCTCGAGAACAAATGAACCTTGAAATCCATACTGAATGGCATTCTCACTACGATCGTTCGTCAGTGACAGATGACTCGAGAAAAGAAAAGCACCAAGAAATCATCTCTAATTCAACCACATGTTTTTGATATAATACTTGACGCCCCAATGCCTAAGCGTTCTCAATTTTGATGATATTGAGTTCATGTGATAGAATTTTGGCCGTATTATTGTGCCCTTCCTCACATCCTCAACTCTCATGAATTTCAAAATTTTTGACAATAACGCATTCAATCTTGTGCATTCCCTTGCCAACAGTTGCAAAAACATCAAGAGCGCAATCATTCTAGTGCAATTTCTCCAAGATATCGACCTCCAATATGAACTTACGCCATCTGATTCCTTCAGCATGAATATTCTTTAGTGATTTACTACTCAACTTCATCGTCTCTTGTGGTTGTGGATCTAAATTGTCATCTGATGTGAATCTTCACAAGGGTCATGACTTCAGGCAGTGAGCGAGAGACTGCAATCTAAAGCTGATATACAAGCATAACAAAAAAGATCATAACAAGGAAATCAACTGCTGTAATAGACTAATAGTAATGTAAGCCAAATCCAACACTTTGAGATTCTGCAAACTATATAGAATGCTGGTATAAACATCCATCCTTGCATGATAATGTAGTTCGCACAAGTTTTCTCTAGCAGACGATGCCGTAACCTCGTTTCCTATAAGTTGCAGATGCAATCACAACATCCTGAGTATCCTGAAGCTGTAGGGGTGGAGCAAAAAAAAAAATTTCATTACGGACGTGAGTTAAAGGGTGTTTGGGAGTGATTTTTCACCATAAAAAATTAATTTTTTGATCGTTATTTCACAATTTCAGTCATAAAGTTTGACTTCCTTTCTCACAGGTGACCTCCACTTTTTTCCTAACGGTTAAAAAATCAATTCTCAAAATTGCTTTCAAACGGAGCCTTAATAAAGGTAATAATATAGAAATAATGTATCAAAAATGGCATAATTTGTTCGATATCTTACAATTGCTCCTTACCAAATTAATGCTTTGAAATAAACAAGTGATAATTGGAGAATGCATTGTATCAAACTCACAAATTCACTAATTCATCCTACATACCATATAAGGATACTACTATAATCATTCAAGATGTTGAATCAAATTCTAAATTTTATTCAATTCGTCTAAGTATTAACTAGTCATTCTTAGCTCGGAATAAGAGGGTCCGACCTTATCCGAACTAAATATGAATTAATATCCGATTTTTATCCGTCGAATAAGGTGGTTTGTTCTGACTTTCAAATCAGGTCATGTCATTATTTTGGGTGTAACATGTATTAAATACATAAATAAATAAAATATCTTAAATTTAAATAAAAGTAATTATGTAATTGGTAATATTGTTGTCAAATATAAGCTGTTATTTAAGTAATATTTTCAATTACACATCAAATTTCCAGCAATTTCCTAAATCATTACTTAGGATGGCTAAGTTATGAAGAAGTCAAACCTATATAATGTTCCAAGTGTATATTTATTTGAATAAATAAAAACATAGATCAATAGAAAAATAAATATTAGGATCATAATATTAGTATTTATTTCATTTAATTTCACAATTAGTCACTATATCATGAAAAATTTTAAGTCAGTCCTTTTCTTTTGAACCAAATGATAAGCTAATGTTAACAAATATCCACGCCAATCACTTGCGTGTTAGCTCTTAAATGGTTAAACGAACAACTAAGACCTTAAATTTGATTGTGCAACTGAAAATTGGCAGAGTGGAACCTAATTACTGGTAACACATATCTCCTTTTCCGTTACTCGTTCACGTATACGAAAGGCGGCAAAATTGGAGCTCAAATTGGAACAAAAATGCAGTTTTTTTTTTTTTAATCGTTATCATTAAATAGTCAAGAAATAAATCGTGGAGTATAGATTTTTTTAACAGAATTGGTACCCAGAAAACAATAATCTTCTTATGATTTGTTGTTGCAAAAAATTTGACAACGGCCAATTACAAAAAGATGACTGTCTTTTTGTATTAATGCTTAAAAAAAAATCTATACTTATAATATTGCTCTTATTGAATTAATAGTGACGATTTAGTCGAGAAAAAACTTTAAAAACTAAATTGAAACTTTGCAATAATTTCTCACCATATATCTAATGGAATTCTAGTACACGTGAAGAACCCAAAAAGAAAAAGGCTTCAACTCTCTCTCTCTCTAGAATTATTATTTATTATTACTCGTGTTTCAGTTTATTTCTCGCCGCTTTAAAGCTAATAATTTAGATGATAATAGTTCATTATCAAGATTCCTGCTTCTGGGCCATACCATTTTTCTGTATTTGTAAGTATTTCGTTTCAACGTTTACTAATTTTTTATTTTTGTAAATTATTTTCGAATTTTAGTCACTTTTTCCAAAGTTTCTCTATATGCTTTTGATAATTTTACTGATTCTCCAATTATGCTGCTTTCTGATGAAAACTGGTGTGTGGTTTTAGTACTAAAAGTAACTGTTTGCTTTTCTCTGTGTAGGTACGTGTGTGTTTAGTTCTCCAGTATAATGAATTTGTGTTTTTAGGAAGATGGAAGTTTGAGGAAAGATTTTGACTTTACTATTATTTAGTGTTTGATGATTTAATTGATGGGTTTCTGGGGTACTTTTACTGGAAATTTGATGAAACTGAGAACTCCTAACTAAACTCTTGAGTGGCTTGTTGTCGCATATCAGTGAAGTGTCATTCCTTATTTAAATTCTTGGTGTGAAGTTCTATCTTGGAGAAGTATATTTATTATATAGGGAATTTAAGTTAATTATCAAAATTAAGAATTGGAAAGGGGATTGTGTGCTTAATGAGAAAAGAGAGGAAGGATCTTTAGTGCTTTGTTTCTGTTTAGTAAGTTGTCCTGTTAATCATATGTGATTTCTTTGACACACAAGGAGGTCGTATTAGTATTGTCTTTCAATTTTCTTGTTTTGGAGATGGATATCATTACTGGAAGCAGCTATTGCTGAAAAGATATATGGCATATACATTTTTATTTATGAATTGAGCTTAGCTGTCAACTGTTTTCAGCATTTGGTGGTTTTTTTCTTCATTAGAGGCCTTTTCGACTGTAGAAAATCACATTATCTTATGCTGGAAATTTTGTTGTACTCGGAACAAAGCATTTCATGCAAGTCTCATCTCCATATGTAATTTCGTAGTTGTGAAGTGACGACATCTTCCAACTTGGACCGAGTGAAGCCAGGTGGCATCTAACAAATAGACATGGATTTTAAAGGTTTAGCCTGGGCTGATAATGTATATGAGAAGTTTGAAGCTATGTGTTTGGAGGTGGAAGAGGTTATGCGACAGGTAAAGCCTCCTTTCCATCCTTCTTTAGCTTTCTCTGTAAAGCTTAGTCTCTCCTTTTCAATGTTGGATTGTCTGTTGTGTGTGACCGTTTGTTATTTTGTTGTTTATCTCTTATGTATTTGTTTACAAAAATGAATAATGTTTTATAGTATGTTAAAGCTAATACCTAACTTCTTAGTAAAATCTCCACAGGCAGATTTTACATTTTATTTCATCAAAATCTTTATTGTAGCTAAAGAAACTAGCTGGATTGTTGTTCCTTTTTCTTTTGGAAAACAACTGCATTTGGGCATTGATTTATAACGAAAGTTTATCAAGTTGGAAAATTACAGGATACTGTTAAGTATGTGGAAAATCAGGTGCAGAAAGTTGGTATCAATGTCAAGAAGTTGTATTCAGAAATCATGCAAGATTTGCTTCCTCTATCTGGTGTAGATCCTGTGAAAGTAGCTGCTGGTGATGTGTCTCTTAGCCCTTGTGCTCATTTGGATATGAACGAAAAGCCAAAAGCTATGCTTGAAAATAGTGACTTAAAGAAGGAATCAACTGAGGATAAATTGAATGCTGATGAGGATGTGGGAAAGAAATTGTCATTAAGTGGACTTGGTAATGTATATGATCTTTTATCACCATAGGTGAAGTTTCTGCTCAAAATGCATAGGGCCTGCTTCTGCTTTTTCTTTTTGTAGAAAAGCTTCTTGAGGAAGAAACCTTGAGCCAACTTCCTCTAGGAGCTCTTTTGGCTAGACAAAGCCTATATTTGGCCCCTATTTTCTCAAAAACTCATTTTTTTAGAATTCATTTTCAACCGCACATTCTCCCATAAAATAATATTACACGTAAATAAAAAAAACATTTCCTTATTTTTTAACCACACATTCTCCAAAAAAATCATTATTACAAAATACATTTTTTCCCAAAATTGCATTTTAATGGAGTTCAAACAAAGGGCAAAGCATTTCGAGAAAGTTATTAGTTCCAAAAGCAGTTCTTAATCTTAGAAGCAGCTTTTGGCTTTTCAAAAGCCTGGCTAAATGGACCCTTATTCTTGTATATTCTACAAAATATAAAGAAGTGGGATTTGATAAATATCACCTTGTTGCTTTGAAACAATTTCTGAGAACAATCATCCTTTGAAAATATCTGTACTAATGACTCCTGTAACAGGTGACAAGAGAGGCACATCCTTGTTGTGTAACTTGAGAGAAAGTTGCGTACCTCCATCTGATCAGACAAATGTGATGTTATCCACAGATTTGGTTGGAAGCTGTAATTCTGTGGATGCTGTGATTACTAATGATTCAATCATTAAAGCGCCAGGTGAATCATCTACTTCCAATGTAACATTATCAGTTGATTGTGCCAGGCAAGATGCAGAAGTTTCTTGTTATACCTCATTTTCTCATCCCCGGCCTTCAGAATCTATCAGTATTTATTTGTGGTTGACTACTTCAATCCTGTATAATAATTTGTTCTTCAGCTACATTCCTGGATGTGGATGGTGATGTAGTTTCTCAACAAGGCTCAAACATAAGCAGCAATAAATGCGATATTAAGTCTGGTAATGAGGAGGTTATCATTTTTTATGAAGGTGCTTTTAGGATCATAGGATGAAAGGTTTCTATTTTTGTCTTCTTGGGAAAAAAACAAAGTATTAATGTGACGTTAAATAAAGAAACATTAAGTAGTTGACTAACGCTCTAACTAGTTCAAGCCACCGCAGCAGATGACAATGAAAGAAACTCATTTAATATAATTTTAATGATATATTGCTGTAATGAATTTATTTACACGATCATGCTCTATATTTTCTGTGGAGAAAAAAAAAATGTCGGAAACAACCAAAAGGGCCAAGTATGCACGTTCAGTCTTGTGTACATTTACGTGCAGGACACGAACTCAACTTTATTGTCCTCTGGATCCAGTTTTTGCTAAGATGCATTATTCCTTTTCCAAATCTTTACTGATGTATATTTCTACAGTGGCTGAAGATAAATTTGATGTTGGTGTCATCCACAATGATGAAGTTGTTGAGCCAAGAGCAGATATCTTAGAGCAATATGATAAATCAAATTTAGAGGAATCATGTGTCATGGTGGAAGGGGATATGCTCCGTTTTTTTCTTCAAGAAACTGCCAAACAGAAATCATTCAAGGTTCGATCTCTCTTTGTGCGTGTGCGCGCGCTTGCTCATGCGACTTTCTATATTTATGATTTTGACTTAATTTTATTTCAGAAAAAGATTCGTGAAGCTTTTTTGTCAAAATTGATATCAAGGAAACCAGAGTACCACAAGCTTTTTGTCCAATATGGAAATCGAGATGGAATGGAAGCAACAGAGATGGTGATTCCTGGTTCAAATAAAGTCTCTGACAATGCGAAATTGCAAGGTCTTAATTTTTCTGATTCTGACTGGGAGCTTCTCTAGATTTGCTGCTGCTGTGAGTGTATTGCTTTCCCTCTACTATAACTATGCGGATGGTATGAATCGAGAATTCAGAAAATACTCTAATTAGTGTTTGAACAAATCAATAACACACATTGTACATAGAAGTCCATATGTTCATGCTTCGTGGCCAATCTAATATTGGTATTTTGCTTATATGTTTCTTTTTATGTAACATATTGGTGGCATATCTGTTTAAAATTTTCATTGCTTTCGGATAACTTCCATAAAGTCCAAGGCTTTTTATCTTTCTACTCTTTTGTGGACGCTATTTTTATCTTTACTTGAAGGGATTGAAATTTAGGGTAGATACACCAAATCACTTAAAGATGGAGGTGTTGATTCGCAATGATTAATACTGCTTGTAAGTTTGTAGCCGCATCCATATTGCCAAAGAATAGACGTGCAAATCGCATGAAAATTAAGTGGCGTACAAGGCAGAAGGAGTCACTAGGATTCTCTTGAACTGGGTTTTTTATATTGAGTTGTTTCATTGATATTTTGTGCTGTATGAATATCCAGTATTTCTACTCTATCTAATTCATATTGTGCCTTTGATAAGTTGGATTGTACAGTATTAAACAAAAAAAATAAGTTAAAATTTTGTCTACTGTACTATCTATCGTATCTTAATATGCTAATGCTTAAATTGACTTTAGAAATCACCAAAAACTTCATGCGAAGAATTAGTACTCCTCTCCAATCCTTCGGGGACAATAGATGCATACAGTAATATCAGGCGGTCCCCGCATGCACAGGTGGCTACAGTCAGCAGTGATTTCTGGTATTTTGAGTTTCGACTCAATCAGTTGCTTGTCTTTCTTTTAAGTATGAACTGTTGGATGTTCATCTATTCTATACTGGGAAAGCTTTTAATGTTCAGATTCTATTGGGGTTTTCATCCTGGCTATTGTTCGCTCCACAGCCTCTGCGAAGGGCATTGAGCACACTGTTATTCAGATTCTATTGGGGTTTTCATCCTGGCTATTGTTCGCTCCACAGCGTCTGCGAAGGTTGTTGAGAACACTGTTATGTACTAGTCGTCCTTGATGGTTTTTGTCTCTTTTAAGCACCAATTCTCTCCTTTATGTTCTGGTGAAATGCTCCTAAAAGAGACTGGTTCTGGTTGAGTATGTTTTTATCGACCCAACTCGCACAGGTTTTCATAGCTATGTTAAACACTCATTCTATCTAACGCTAAGAGGGCACTTATAGACGTGAAACAGTATGAATCAAAACAAGGATCGATTTCGTTTATTGAGAACTGACCAATGCTTTACATTAGAACCAGCTTACTACAATATTACCGTCAGAACCTGCGGTCAATTAATTAATTCAGGCAGCTCTTTCATGCCAAAAATAATCAGTAGTACAATTCAATCACCATCTTTTTCTTGCAATAAGTAAATTTTTGGCTCTAATCTTCTATCACCGATCTTCAGCAAAGAGAGCTGCATAGAGAAGCTCGTTCCAAGTATCTGGTAAGCCAGGAAGGCACCAATGGCTGCAATCGAGCCCTTTTTGCAAGCTGTAGTACGTTGGATGTGCATCCTTTCGATATTGTGAGAGTAATGTGATGTCGAGTAGATATACTGGTTTCTTGATTCTACGTAGCACTTTGTTTACAACAACGGCAGACGAGGGTATGGAGGCTGGGTATTTCAGGCCAAAGAATGGTTGTATCTCTCGACTACATGATTTTGATGGCTCACGCCAATCCTTGCCCCTGTAGTTGAATGATAAGGTCGATTACATGAATAATTTTTCACCACTCGATTTGGTTCATTAAAAGATCTGTAGTAAAAATAAATCTATAATAACAATTTTTGACTGTGTTAATCGTAGTTTACCCCCCTTGTTTATTTTAGAGCTCTTGATATAATCTTATAAAATTATCTATCGAGCCATTAAACGCATCTTTTGTTAACTTTTCATCATGGTAGTAAATATATTACAAGAATGTTATGTGTACAGTGCTGTATACATACAATACTCTTACGGTCGTGGGCCATCGATTATTTTAATCGTGGTCTCATCTCTTGTATGTAAAAGAGCTATCAATTATGATGTCAAAATTACTGAAGCATTGTTCAATATATTATTATAGATTGTAGACTATATAGTTTATCTTTTGATCCCGCTAAAAGTTTATGTCAACTATGGTAGTACGTAAGGAAGGTAAATATCCCACCACACTTATTTTCTTTTTTATTTTATCTTTATACTTTTAAAATCATATTTAAAAATAAATAAATAAATGGACAAAAAGTGATTATATTTTTATTTTCCTCCCAACCCTACCTCCTAGAAATCCTTTACGAGGTAGGGGAGTGGGAGTGTCATCCCACCTGCCTCATTGTCATCTCTATTAGGATGCTAACACAGTGTTGTCAAGCGCATAATTTAGCATGAAATTGAGTGAGGAAGAATATTGCACTTTAGTAAGAAAATTGAATGCTTACTCGTAATGTGTGGGGGAAATTCCTTGGAAAAACACTTTGGTTTTTGAAGGATCAATATTTCTATCGATCCATCTTGCCCATGTGTTCAACCCTTTATAGTAAGCAATCAGACGGTTCATATCTTTGTACAATTTGCCACCCTCTTCCATGTAATCCCATCTGAAATAAAATTCATTGAGTCTCCTGTTCTACCAGAGGTTATTATTTTTTCTATTTATTTTCAAAATGTTAATCTTACGGTTTAGATCTTCCGGTGTGAGTCCACCAATGCCATGAGTTGAAAATCAACATATCCATTCCTCTCCATGCATCTCCATTTCGGATTGAGTCGAGCTTGAGAACCCGACCTGCCTGTTGGCTCTCCAAGTCCACGAGGTACGGCGTGCTATATAATAACAATTTCATTCCATAATCCTGTTTCAAATTATAGTTAGATTCTAATGAGAAATTGAACTATGTCCCTAATAAAATTGACAGGAGATGTGGACCATTTAATGGGTTGTCCATACAATAGTAGACAATGTTTGGCATCCCCACATAAAAAAAGATACATCCCTCCGTGCCTGGAAAGCGTCTCCAAGAGCTTTTTTAAACATGAAATGTTCTCAATTTTAAAAAGTCAACTTTTAAAATCATGCTTCAAGAAACTCTTTAAATTAATATTCTAATTTAAAGAGTTGAAAAATAATTAAATACATTCAAAGTATTTCAATTTTCAATATTGAAAAATAATATTATAATATAAAGAAAAGTTAGTTAAAATAAAAAACAGTGAAAAATAATAAATATTTTTTTGGAGCAGTAAAATTAAATGTTAAATATAAAAAGCACGTTGAAGTGCTTTAAAAAAAATTTCTCTCTAAATTTATAGTTACTCTTTAAATTATATAATATGCTCTTTAAAAATAAAGACACTCTCAAAGTGTTAAATTTTTAAAAGAATCTTCTTTTTGGCAAAGAAGTGACAAAACGAGAAGTAAATCAAATTTAACATATAAGTTTACTGCCATTGGCAAATTAATTTATAAAAGTTTATTTGTGGGCCTAAAGTTTTTCACCTAAAAGTTCCAAATAAAGGATATAACCAGCCAATTAAAAGCATACCCCAAATGCCTATCCATTTTCAGTTCCAAAATGCCTTCCACCGACTAAAGTAAATTCCACATTCCAATAATATCGAATTCATGTTAGGTAGGGATGTATGGATTATTGGAAAATAGTGTACTGAATGACTCTTCACAAATAATCGATTCATTTCCCTTTCCTCCCAAGACCCAAATTCAATACGATGGCTAAGGTGTACACACAACTTTACACCCCCTTCACATGGAAGAGGGTCACGAATATTTTATTATATGTGGGCCTCCTCCATGTGAGGGGAGTGTAAGGCTGCGTGTACACAACCCTTGAAAATTCCACCTAAATCTAACCTTTCCGCTACTGCTCAGGTCATCGACGTTGGCGCCAATCACAAATTTTCAGCATTGTAAATAAAAATGAAATTTTTACTGCATCAATGTTGCAGGGAATAGTGTTGTTCAATTTAACTTGCTACACATGTCGGACTGATAAATTTTAAAAGTTCTACTCCATTTATTCTATGAGTTATAACACAATAATTGTCGGGGGAGTGAAACTAGAAAAATTTGGATTCAATGAATACACATTAAACTTTTACCTTCCCAAACTTAAGGAACAAGGACATAACATGAATGCACTATAAAAACTTATCGGTTTGGCTAAAATTTATCAAGAAAAGTAGTTGAAATCAAGTGGCTATGAATAGCTTGGCCAGATTGAATATCTTCTCAATCCCATAAAAAATGAAAAAAAAAAAGATGCATGTAATTGTGTTAGTCGTAGTTGGAGAGACTGTATACCTGGTTTATTTGTGACGATTTACTTAATGAAAATATTTAGCTTTCAAGCAAAAAATAAAAATAAAACTATGGGCTCAAAACTTACCAAGAATACAAGTGCGACAATTCCCTCTCTTCTTATAAGTGTAGTCCTCGCCTTTGGAATCCATGAATGAATCATGCAACTCAGTGATTGCCACATGTTCAAACTGAGTGAGTCACCCACAAACATGATCTTCTTCCCTCTCCATTTCTCCAAAAATTTCACCCCATTAAACCTACATTAAAAAAATAAATAAAAGGAAGTAAGTCGAGCCGAGTCTAGCCTAGTAAAGTCAAGTCCAAGTTACAAAATAATCCAAGTTGAGTCCACCTCACCTTGGTAAGTTACATGAGAAGGGCTGCCATCTGTATTTGAGGTACATTTTATCAGGTCTTTTGTACTTACCACAGTTGAATTCATCCTCTATGAAAGGACAAGTTGAGAAATCATATAGAGGATAAGAGGCATCAAAAACCCATTTGCCTCGGAAAATATTGCAGCCGCCTGCAGCTCCGACGAGTTTTCCGCCGGTGGAGCTGGTGGCATTTAAGTCAGCATGTGCTTGGCGTGAAAACAAGAAAAGTAGTGAGAGAAACAGCGTTTTGAAGACGAAGCCCATTCTTGGACTTCGATCCAAGAAAATTTTTAGTAAAGAACGAGTTTTGAACAAATTAGCGTCGTACTATGCACACTATGTTGAGTGTATATACATATATATATATATATATATATACACATCACACACTTGCATGAGGGAGAGAGGAAGAACTGCAAGGCTTATATTGACCTGATCTGCCGGGATTTACGAATTATTTTATTTCAGTTTGATTTAATGCCGTCTAGGTTGTACGCAAGCCTCTAAAATATTAGCATTTTTATTTTGGACCTACTTCAGAAATCAAAGTTCTTTGAAAACTCCATCAAGCAAAACTCGAAAAAATTTGCTTAATTTTATTTTTTAGTAAAATTAAAAAATCTTTACCGAACTTCACAAAAACTTTTGAACGCATTTTATTATACTTCAACAAGACATTTACATATTTTTGAAATGTAATTCTTATATTAAAAAAAACTAACTAGTGATTAAGTTTGAATTATGTTAAATATCGAAGAAATAAAAATGAAATTATAATATAGTGTCATACGTTTCACATAAATAATTTTTTCACTTATCATGAGTACACAAAATTTAAATAAATTGATAATTTGAAACAATGGAAATGGCCGACAGCTAGCATGTGGGATATGTTGCTACATTTATAACTTGTGGTCAACTTTTTAAATTAATATTTTCTCATGTTTTTAATAATTGTATGCACGTATAGTTTACAAATATTTTAGATGTCAATTTCTAAATTTAGTATTTGCATTTTAATGTAAAGTAACTCTAATAAAAGAGTTATGAATATATTGCATGCATGGTTATAAAAAGGAAAAGAACAAGTATTGAAGTGAAAGATAGTCTTACTTCAAATGAGTGGGATATTTGAAGAAAAATGTTGAAAATTAGAAGTTCGATAGATGAAAAGTTAGCAACTTGTTAGGAGTAGATCTTGTAATGATTTTTGTTAACATGACAATGAATAATCATATTTATATGATATTGAATAACATGTTCAATAACATGAGTTCTATATCCCTAAATTTAATTGAACCAGTTATTTGAACTGATAATTAACTAATTTTTTCCGTGTAAAAAGAATCTCAATACCAGTTAAAGGTATAGAGTTCTTCAAAAATCTCAAAATCTATACTTATTTCAGCTCTCACAAATCACCAATAATACAAACTAAAAACACAAAAGAGATAAGATGGCGATAGATTTGGACTTTGCTATATTGATAGGTTAAATGTAGGGCCTCCAATTAAATGAATTTAATATGTACTCATTTGTCCATAAAATCACAGTCCAAAACTACATAAAACCCTGATAATTGGCACTTTCAAGAAAAGCCACTTCAAATATTTGCTTAGGCTGTATCCGTAAGTACTTCAATTAGCACTTAATTTAAACCTATCATCAAAAAGTATTTATTGATTTGCACTTCAAACTTCTCTTAAGTGTGACTTTCTTTCTAAATAATTGCTAAAGAAAAATACAAATCATGGTTATTTTCAATGCACGTTTCATAATTTCGTTATTGTTGAAACGTGTGAAAACTAAATTGAATCAAAGATAAAGTAATAAGAATCCCACTCAGATTTACGAAGTTGAACATCCACTACTTGAAGTTCTGGTTGCCTATGCTTGGAACTTTTACTTTTGGAGTAATTAACCAAATAATTTTGTAAAACATAATAAAAAACAATAATTTGGAATTATATATTTGTCCTCTCAATTCTCAATTATGATTATTGACTGCATTTACTTAACAAAGGGCTAAAAGATTACCATTCAAATCAATTATGGATTCGTTGGAGTGAATGGTTCCTAAGGAAAATAATCTCAAGCTCAATTTTATCAATTCTTTTATCGTGAAGAAGGTATTCGATGAAGTATTCCTCTACTGAATGGATCACCTTAGCATATCCCCGAGGAATGTGTTGAGGGTTGCAATTTATAAACCTTGATTATTGTTATTGGAACTAAGGGAGTGTTTGGTTCCACTTTTTTGCCCGATTTTCAGCCCTTTTTGGACCGTTGGAGCCTTGCAAGCCGGACTTCCATGTCTCACAAAGGGGCCCACATACAGAACAATAACGGTCATAAAATCCATTTCTTCTGGAAAAAAATCGGAACCAGACACACTCTAAATTAATAGGTTCATTAGAAGAGTCAAGCAATTTTTATATAACTCGATGGATTGAATTGCCAAGTTAATTGAACCACTCCAATGAGATCGTCAAGTAAGCACACGAAATACATAATTGAGAGCTGGAAAGATGGCATGGCACAGCTGTTAGAAGGGGTGGGTTATTTATTTGTAAACTTTTTGCTACAAAAAAATTAATTAAAAAGTTATAAAATTGTTGGGCAAGGGCCTATTTGTGGTTATAGCCATGTCAAAACTGATAAGTGCATTTTACACACTTATTTAGACAACAGAATATGAATAGTTGTTAGTAGTGTTGAAATATCATTTAATTCTATATAAATTACATTTTGCAAGACAATATTAATGAATATAATGAGATTTAGTAGAAACAAGCGAAAATGACTAAGCTGGATGAAAATCAAAGTTTAGGAACCAAAGTGCCAATAGTCAAAAGATGACCTGGAGGAAGAAATGAAGATATGAAAGATTAAAGACCAATTTTGCGAAGACATGAAGCATTGGAAAAAGAAATGAGAAAGAAGTCAAGAAACAAGAAAATGGAGTTTAAGGACAAAAATGCAAAGAATAAATTTTCATTTGAACTATGCTATAGCATACCTATATCTTTCATGCGGTCGCATGGCTGAATTTTATTGAACTATGCTATAGTATACGATTGTACTATGCTATAGCATAGTACATTTTCAAAGGAAAAATTCTGGTTTCCTCATATGACTCAAACTCTTATAGAAACATGATTTGGTACGTCTTTTAAAGACCTAAGACTGTTCATAAGTAGTTTACCACATATTACGACGTATTCATATAGGTTTTAGAGAATAGAAGGAGGCAAAAAATACGAAAATTGATTCCAAAACTTGAAGATTCAATTCAAATTTAATTGAATAATATCGGTTCTTCAATATTTCTTTTGTTTTATTTTTCAACATGTTAGGTTAGATTTATTTGTCTTAGGAAAACGATAAATCATGTAATATGAATTTTTAATTTTCAATTTTACATAGTTGACATCAAAAATATATTTTTGGATATTGAATGATTTATATGATTTTCTTTTCTTCACAATTAATTTACATAGTAGTTGTGTGAATATGATGACTTATTTTATGCATTCGAAAGAAGGAAAATAGACTCGACATGGTATAAATCGTCATAGAATTCGATAGGGGATAGAGATATACAGCTATGCCTTTGTGAATCTTTAAGTGTTCATAAAAATTCATGCATTCTTATATGTTAACATCCATCATAGAAATATAGTCGATTCATATGTGAGAATATATTTGACATTATTTGACAGAGATTGCTGAATAAAATAGGAATATTGATTTGTCAAAATTCAATCGTGTTGTCAAAGTGTAGAACTAAGGTTAACAGTGTTTATTACATTGGAATTTGTGACCATAGTGCATTTGTCATTCATTAGAAGAGATCAACTCTTATTTAGTAAAATTTGCATTTAGTTTAGTTAATTCACTCATAATTGTATAGTAACTTATTTTTGTTATAATTTATTACAACAAATACATCCTATTATTCTTGTTTTGGTTGAGATTGTGATAATTAAAATCGAACTAAATCAATCTCCGTGGGACGATATTTAGACTGAATTCCACTTTAGTACTTATTAACAAATGATACATTTGTGGTGGTTTAATTCGAAAGATATTTTCATGAAAAAAAAAAAAAAAAACCTAATCCTTTTACCATTTTATTTACAATTTGTTAGTCTAACATAAAGAATAGAAATGGTTATTTATATGCATATTAAAAGGTATAAAGGGTTGATCATGTACATATGAATAGGTTTACATAAGTCCTCCACCAGGTTTTCAAGCTTAGGGGAGGGGATAAAATGAAGAATTTTTACTATCATTCATTCTTAATAAACGGGAAAAAAATTAAATTAATTCTTGTCTCTCTGAAACTAAGTATGTTTTACACTTAAATAAATAAAATTTCCTCGCACCTATTGGGTTAATCAATTTTTCTAATTTAATCAAATCTTATTTTGTAAGTGGAGCTTGGTGGTTTAAGTGGTTAATTAAAAAAAATAAAAAATTGAAAATGAACGCATGCATGGGATATCAATTCTAACATTTTTCCAAATTTGAATGAATATCTCAAATTTCCCCACTTTCCCAAATTTCATCAAATCACCATCCCCATTTTCCAACTATTCATCATACTAATTATTTTTCTCATACTTACATACTGAGTTTATCAAGAAAAAGAGAAGAAGACCAATGTGTATTAATTCTTGCATTCAATTCATATTTCTTTGGCATTCTACTCCATCCAACCCTAACGATAAAATTTGCTTTCTTTATTTGTGTCCCAAATTATAATTTACTTTTTTTTTTTTTATAATATTATAGTTGATTTCTTAGTTTCCTCGTATGTCTCTATTTAATTCTTCAACTGTACTTGGAATAATAAATAAAACGCATATACATGCGTATTCCATATATTTTTTTTCATTGCTTAAACCATGAGTGAGAAACAAAAGAGTATCCACATTCCATTATAGCTTGTAAAGATACTCTTAGAACAATTCGCACAACAGATCACGACTCGAACCAATTAGTGAAGCCATTGCTCAATTTAAATGCTCCATCAAAAGAAGATGGTTACACTTCTGCAGCTCAGAAATATCATGTTGTTTATCAAACGTTGAGAATTTTTGTACCCAATTTCTAAGAATTTTCTCATCTGGAATTTTTCGACCATACATTTTTTGCATGAGTTCTCTTCTTTCTACCGATCTAAATGAAGGTTCATAATAGACACTGACATCACATTGAAAATAACTTTTGACTTTTTAACATCGTGTTGTTGGATGGATCTCGAAAGATATAGAAATCTCTTCCATGTTAGTAGAAATGTTCTTATTACATTAAATGCATCACCATATATGCTTAGAAAATTTGGCAAAATCAAATCTTGTCGAAGTAAAAATTTCCATGAACAATAGGACTAGCACGGTGTACTTGTTTAACATCAAAAGTCGACTTCTTAAGGAGATATTACCAAATAAAGTTTGGTTAATAAATTAACTTGATGG